GCAAACGGCAAATTTTTAGATCGTTTCAGAGTCTCGTTTACAAAATTTATATTTTTTAAATTATTTCAGAGTTAATATAAGAAATCTCTATATATAACCTGTTGTGTAAATTGAAGATTTGTTTATAAATTATTAACAAGAGTTGTTACTCAAGTTTCGTTGCTTGTAGACGCGCGAGTCCGTTGCGCGATGAATTAAGCATGATACTTTGTACTCGGCCGATCGTCACGAATTGTTCAGTGTTTTTTAAAAGCCGCTGTTGTGCACAGCTCGGAAGTCTTTTTATGGATCTCTTTGCGTTTCATTCTGAATGACCTAGAGCAATGAGTGAGCGAGCGAGCGAGCGAGCGAGGAGATTCATCCACTTCATCGCCATTCAAATCTCGGGCTAACTTATTTGCTACTTTTCACGTAGAATAGAGCGCAGCGTATCTAATTCGCCGACACGATAGCGAATGTGCCGGATCATGAAACGGACTTGATGTACTTTTATAGATCATAATCGCGAATTGTTCTAGGTCGACAAGTCTCGTTTTTTTTCCGCTCGCTTCATACTTTAAAAGTTATCTCGAGAGATTTGAGACATAAAACTCGAACATCACGAATTAATCCTGCCATTGTTTGACAAAGTTTGAGACTCGATTTTACGCGTGAAATTTTGTCAAGACTCATAATCTGTGTTCGCAATCCTTTGATTTTGACCGAAAGTGTGCAATTATAAAAATTACATTTAGATAGAACATCTAAAAAACAAAAAAAAAAGAATTCGTGGTTATCGCGCGGGACAAGTGATTTTGATTAAATTTCAAACGATGAAATGAATACGTAATGTAACATTTATTTTCTCTCGTTGCTGGCCTTTTTTTATTTTATTTTATTTTTTTTTTTTAATGCTACTAGAGGCAATCGTTAACAAGACGCTCCGGAACGTTGAAGCTTCGGCATCGTACTTGACTGTCACGCCTACGATTCAATTGATTTATATTTATATTTAACAAAAGAGGGAATTAGCCATTGTAAATATTAATTGTGCGATATTAGTATGTTTACCAAGGACTTGCCCGAAGTTTTTGTACAGCGCAATCCGCCCTAAGAAGACGACTTATGATACATTATTTCATCGGCTGACGAGGCTTTTACTCTCTCATCGCATCATCAAGAATCGTCTTCGTAATTTGTGGAAAGACAAAAATCGTTGAATCGTTCAGAAACTGATCGGAGCGCGTTTTGGAAGATTGTTCTATGTAACGAAAGACGTACATTATTGCGTTGATTGAGTACTTGGATTGTTTAAATAAAATTACGACGCGTATATGCCTTGTCCAGTTTCTAGCAATACACACGAGAGGTTGTGCCGCTGTACATTAGAACGCTTGTAATGCGATCATGCAATGATCAATTAGCGTTTGAAGTACTTGTGAAATATAAAAGAGCATCACACGAGTTGCATATCGTATTTGTTACGAATAAGCATAATATACGTGAATTGATTTCTTGTACATTGATTTAGATGTGTACTGATTCGCGCTGCGACAATGATGATTTCAGAAAGCAGTATAAATTATTCAGATCGCGATGAGCTAATATCTTGGACGGTATTAGTAGGCAAACTTATATTCTATAGAAAGTATTCCTCCGAATCTCCGAAATTGAAAGAAATCGTTTTTACTCTTACCGAAAGTTCTGATATTGCTACATAGTTATTAAGAAATAAACATTTACTTCATACGCGAATTTATCCTCCTCGAGAATTATAAATTGAAATAATATATTACCGACGCTTTGTACTATTATATTTGTTTTTTTTTTTTGTTGTTTTCTTTTAATGTTATTTGCGAGATGAGATAATGTAAACTACCTAGTAAGAATTAATTTGTACAAATCCACGTTATTTATATTCTTTAGACAATAAATCAATCTTGGAGAGAATCTGATTGCAGATAAAGCATCAATTATCAATTATTTCTAAATGAAATAATTTTATATTAATATTTATATATTTAATACACTCGTGTATAAGAATAATATTAGAATATTTTATCTTTTCTTTGACCAATTTTTAGAATTGCCTTTTTTTAGCAAACATTTATTTAAGCAATTTAATATTTTCACATTTTCTTCATCAATGTCTTGAAAATTGAGACTCAAAAATTGTTATATTTAAAAAATTAAATATAGAGAATTACGGAAAATGCTGTTTTTTATTTTTTATCTTGATGACAATTCAATAAAAACTTATTTTTGCAATTCAAAAACCGTACGTTTTTATGCGTTATGCAGGTCTATCTGGACTGGCCTTAAAATCTATATCGAATAAATTTGCATATAGTTTATCATGCGCAAAAACAAAAATCAACTAATCACGCGTTCAATGTAGCAGCGTGGAATCTTTTGCATTGAATATATGACTGCAATGCAATTGTTTTTTTTCTACAAACACGACTGAATAAACCTTAAGATAGTCATGTGTTTTCATTCGGATCCTCTAGATCTTACGCATGCACATTTACGAAAAGTGACGAAAGGTTCTTGCTGCTTTGCTGAGAGAAAGTGTGTCTAGTGCGAAGTAACGTTCCGGTAATCGTCTGATTGAATGGTTCGTCGAAAAACCTTCAAAACGGTGCATCATAGAAAACCGAGAAAATGTTTAAAAAGTATGTGTGCTGTTATGTCTGTTTCTAACCTCTCTCTGTAGGCAATGTAGAGCTGAAAGAAAAATATTTAAATACATTAGGATATATTTAAACAACATTTAGCCATTTTGTATAAAAACTGCTGAGCATTCTTTGTGTTTTTGAGAAAAATGTCAATAGATGCTAAAAAATTGCTATTATAATGAAACATTGTTATTACATTATTCATATGTTTAAATATACCTTTTTGTTAGATTTGATGAAAAGGACAGTGTTTCTGGTGTTCAACAATTAAAATCATCGGTGCAGAAAGGAATTCGTTCGAAAATTCTGGACCTATATCCTTATTTGGAGAGCCATATAGATGTTATAATACCAAAGAAAGACGCCTTTCGCATTGTGAAAATGGTGAGTTACTCTGTGTATGAAGTTTATTCATAATTCAACTGTTTCATTTCCGTCACTCTTTATTTCCACCAGCCACGATCACATAGAGATTATAGTGAATGCAGCGGGAGACCTGTTATTTTTTCGCCAACGTGAGGGCCCTTGGATACCTACTTTGAAATTATTACACAAGTGTGAGTTTTTTCATCAGTTGATTGAAAAATAGAAGATATTTTACAATATTTATGATATATTTCTTTTTATAATGTTGCATCTCACATATTTTCAGATCCATTCTTCCTGCCAATGCAGCAAGTTGACAAAGGTGCCATCAGGTTTGTTCTTAGCGGTGCCAACATAATGTGCCCTGGTTTAACGTCAAAAGGTGCAAAAATGATGACGGTGGAGAAAGGAACTGTTGTCGTATCCTTTAAGTATAACATGAATCTCATCGAGATTGTGATACATATTTCCAATATGCATTTTATTCTGTGAAGTACAAGTCCTTGACTTAAGACATAGGCTGTAATGGCAGAGGGCAAGCAACATGCGTTAGCTGTTGGTGTTACAGCATTATCGACGGAAGACATGTAAGTCGAAATAATTTTTCCAACACCCCATTTTTAATCATTTTGCATATTTATCATTTGTATTTGTATTTCCAGCATTAAAGTGAACAAAGGAATAGGCATTGAAAACTGTCATTATTTGAATGATGGACTCTGGCAAATGAAACCAGTAAAGTAGAGATGGGCGATTTTCAAAAATCGATTAAAAAAAAAAAAATCATAAGTTACAATTATATTAATAAAAAAATCGATAAATCAATTAATCGTTTTATTTTCCTTTTAATTGCAATTTATTTTTTTAAAAGAAATCTTAAATAATATTTATTCTGCAATTTATATATTAATTCTATTTTAATTTTAAATTTACATACAGTTTCTTAATAAATTTGCAAAAAGATATGCATTGCTGAAGAAAAAACAGTTTTATTAATTTTATTAAAATAAAAAGTTTTTTGTTGCATAGCACGCACCCATAATCGTGCACATGCATATTAATATTACAAACATTACATGGTTGCATACAGCGTCGAGCGTCTGCAAAAAATTATTCCGCAGAATCTGAAACGAGATTCCGAGATATATAGGATTATATTTAATACTGATTTATTTTTAAAAAATCAGTTTGGCGATTTTAAGTTAAAAGAATCAAGTATCGATTGGGAAAAAAACTAACGGTTATTTCGATTAATCGAGAAACATTGCCCATCCCTACAGTAAAGTAAGACTGATTACATCGCGGATATTATTGATCATATCGAGGATGTACTACTGGTTGTATCAGAGATATAATCAAAGTATCATTTTGCATACAATGTCCCTATTTTAGTTAGATTGTATCATGATACAATATTACGATATGATGTTGTATCATGATATAAGATTATATTAATTTAATTAATTTACCTAATTTGCTTAAATTAATAAATTAATTAAATTAATGGAATACATTTAAGATTCAATTCAGTGTGACGCAGAATGTAAGTTTTATGTCCTGCGTGATTATAAGCTATAATAAAACAAATTACTACTACATTCTTACTATCTAAATCGAAGAATTACATCAAGTCCGATACAGTCTAAGAATATAAAGGGAATATATAAAAAGAATTTGTAAAATAAAGAATAATTAAACGGATCCTGATTTAGTATCTACCTGACCTTCCTGATTCTCTGGCGGACCAGGGCGTTCACCCTCGCAGTGTCCCGCGGGTGAGGAGTAGGAAGCAGGATTGTTGGCATCAGGAGCGGGTGCGGAAGCGGCGGCCGCGGCTGCTGTGCCGCCGGGTACGTTTGCATTGGCATTGTTACTCTCGGCGGGAACCGTGTGAGGCGATTGCGGATGATAATGCGGACTGTGCGGGCTATGAGGACCGTGGCCGTGGGGACGTCCCATCGGATGGGGCGAGTACTGCGAGTACGGCTGATGATAGTACGGATGAGCATATTGCGGATAAGGTTGGTGATACGGTTGTTGCTGGGTATAACTGTAGGTGGGATGCGGCGGTCGCGGAGCCAGGGGAACATTTTGAGGTTGCTGCGGGCCAGGTCCAGACTGATACTGCTGGCCGTAAGCCTGATTAGGCGGCATCATTTGAGGAGTGTGCGGATTCGCCACCGGACCTTGTGGCGCCATGACCTGCGTACCCTGAGTACCTTGCGCCGCTTGATGCGGCGGCATCGAGTGATTCGGTAGCATTCCTTGTTGATGAGGATTGTGCTGGATTGGCACTGCTGATGCGGACACCGGCGGCATGTTCGGTGGAGCGGAATTAGCGGTCGCGTTCGCGCTCGCGACCACCGCTGCGACTGCAGCCGCCGCCGCGGCTGTTGTGGTTGGTTGTTGCGGCGATAGAACCGGCGGTTGCTGTTGCTGTGGTTGTTGCGGTTGCGGTTGTGGCGGTTGCTGTTGCTGTTGCTGTTGCTGTTGCGCCTGCGGTGGCTGTGGTTGCGGTTGCGATGGCGGCGGCGGTTGATGTTGCGGAACGGGTGGCGGCTGATGCTGCGGCGGCTGATGCTGCGGCGGCTGATGCTGCGGCGACTGATGCTGCTGCGGCGGCTGATGCTGCGGCGGCGGCGGCTGATGCTGCGGCGGTTGATGCTGCGGCGACTGCGGCGGCGGTTGATGCTGCTGCACCGACGGAGGAGGCTGCTGATGCTGCTGCGGTTGCTGAGGAGGTGACGGTTGATGCTGAGGCGGCGGCGGCGGCGGTGGATGTTGCGGCGTCTGCGTCTGTTGCTGGTGAGGATGCTGTTGAATCGGATTGATTACATTGTTACAGTACATTCCAGAGTTTGATACGTGTTGCTGATTAACATTTGGTTGCAGCACTGGTGGAGGCTCAGGCTTATTTTCGTTGTATGGAGGCGACATTTTCTTGTTCATCTCGATGTTAGACTTATCGATGCCGCTGGGTTTCTTCTCCATTGAATCATTATCAGAAACCTACGCAAATGAAATAAATATTTCTTTATACAGGGCACATGTTAAAATAAACTTTGTGTGAACATTATTCAGTTAAAGTACATCAGGCTGAGTCTCATCATTAAGTGACGCAGGAGTTGGAGTCGGCGTGGAGTTTGGTGTAGATTCACTAGACGCTGGTCCGTCCGAACGATTCTCCTCTGTTCCTTTTAGTCTCTCTCGTCTAAGAGCTTCATACTGCCGCTCTACCATTTTGTTAAATGTTTCTTCATCCACTGCAGGCTTACAGTGCTAGAAGAACAATAATTGTACTTTCTGCAAAGAAATATTATTAATTAATATTTCTTTTAGAAGTTCTCTGTACCTTTTTTAATTCCTCTTGAAATATTTCACTGGTTTCTATAAATTTACGTTTCTTTGCTTCGAATTTCTCTTCAATTTGTTGCAATTCTGCCTCAAGTTTTTTCTGGAATATATAAGAAAATATTTCAGATTAAAATAATTATCGATTTCATATAATATATTTAATTCTATATTAATTACCTGATGCATTGTTAAAGACTGTACTTGACGACGTAAAACTTGCATTCTTTGAGTAGTAACTACGGAACGAACATCTGGGACAACAGTGTCGCTGAAGATCTCATTGATGAGTCGATGGTTCCTCGTGTAACGTGAATATGCCACATGTTTTACAGAATATCCATCATCTTGATCTATAAATCAGGCAGAAATTATTTGTAACAAATAATACTATATCAAATATATATTATAATAATAATTGCTATTATTATTTATGCACCATCATCATCTTCAGCTGGTAAAATATCAATTCTCCTGTCTTGAGCCGCTTGGCTTTTACTGCTGCCTGATGAACGTTCATGACTTTCTCGATCATCATTGTTTTGTTGTGCTGCACACAAAGCTGTGTAAAATACAGAAATATTAGTTTTATCTACCAAAGTTTTTATCATATTTTAAAACTATATTCATTATACATACCAGATTTTCCACGATTCTTAGCTGCAATATAAGCTAAGTATGCAGGTGAATTGTGATAAGTCTTCAAACTTTTCTCATATTCCACCTATCAAATAATCAAACAATATGTATAAATCAATCAACCAATTATGCAATAATGTAAAATTATAATAGGATGAATTTGTGTACCTTTTCAGCTTCATATTCTTCTATAAACTCTGTCTTATCTTCTTCTGGCAAGTCTCTCCACATCTGTCCGATAATCTTGCCAATCTCCCATAGTTTTAATTCTGGATTCTGTGCTTTTACTTGATCCCATACCTTTCTGCTGTATCTCATATATGGCATAAGCGGTTTTTCTGGTGGCTTTGGCGGTTTTGGCATACGAGAGTCAGCCTGATCATAAACATTAAGATACAGTTTTTTTCACATTAAAATTTATACATAAATTAATATTATCTGTACATAATCATAGTTTAATTTTGTAAACCAGATACATACATTGGTATTTTTTCCAACTTTCTGTGGTGTAAATCCTGGATGGCTATGAGGAGTTTGTACAAATGGACTCTGGGCATCTTTCTAAAAACAAGCAAGTTATCGTGATTAAATTTAAATATCCAATAACAAGTATATTTCATGTATAATATTCACTTACAGTATTTGTTGAACTACTTGAGCTCCCACCAGATGCTCTTATTCGTTCTGCAACAGAATAACGACATAATAATTTAATCAAAGCTAAGCAATCAACTAAAGTCAGGAAAAAGATAAAAAAAATTAATTATGCTTACGATTAGAGGCTACGATGTTCGAAGTAGCCATTGCGACTTGTTTGTAATTCGGTGGTAATGCCATTTTATATTATGCGCTCCAGCAATCCGTATTATCAAGAATACAGCAGATTTTTCAATAAATAATTGATGTTAGCACTGCTGCGATATTTTTGCTGATTTCGATGATCTACTTAGCGTTGAATTGAACAACTTGAAAGAGCATACTCCAACAACGTTACAAAGCCGCTTGGTCGACCGATGGGCGTTACGATAATTACGCGTACGTGATAAATTTCGGCTTCAGTGTCGGAATAAGCTTTTGCGAGATCCACTTGGCGGTTGTAACTTCACTATCGAGTCGATGATTCACAAAAAATCGTGGATATTTTGACACTTACTCCGTAAAACACGAAAATAGCCGGAATTATGAACATCAGTGAACATATAACTCTAAGATGGGACTCGCGCCGCGTCACGTCGCGTCTGTTCCGTGTTTGACACTGCTATGTGAATTCGCTTTCTATTGGTTGAGATATCTGGTGAAATTATTGAAAATGGACTAATGGCAAAAGAAATTCTATTGTAGGAGTCAGTTTCGTATCTTAGGAGTCGCTGCTTTATGAATTCGCTATTGAACTTACGCCATGTTTTATCTGAAATGTCAGTGTAAGTTGATGTAAATAAATATATGATTAGTGATCACTTTTCTGTATGCTTTTTTTTGTAAGTTTATATATTTATATTTATTAATTATATTAATATAATTATAGTGTATTCTTTTAGAGAAAACACTATAATTATATAATAAAATCTAAAGGTTATTATTTAAATGGCTGTGAGATTATGAACAACTATATAATATGCTAATAATGCTATATAATAACTATATAATTATGCTGTAACTTTATAATTATATATACACATATAATGCTCTAATTAAAATTTTGTTGTAAAATACAAAAATTATTTCCAGCATATATTAATTCTAAAAATCAAAAGTTACAAGATAAAAAATATGCATTATGTGTATATATGAGAATAGATGAGAATGTAATAATGTATATGCTATCTGTTTTTTGTACGTAAGTTTAAAAAATTAAAATTTTATACTTTTGAAGAGTATACATTCTAGAGTAACTTTATTAAATTTGTACAATGTTTGTCTGCAACTCCTTTTACATAGGCAGTGATTTAGATAATTACAGGACCTGCTAAGAAAAAAACCTGCTTTATTTTTGTTTTTATAATGTAATCTATTCAAAAAAAATGTATTCCTTTTTTAGCTGTATCTTGAGCATTGATGACATGTCAGTACGTATTACACAGAAAGTATTTAATTTGTATACAATACGTCATAGATTGGTTTTGGTAAATAATGGTTACACAATGCCTGCAATCTTTCATTACGCGATACTGGTGTGTACCGTCGCATCGGGAAAGTCTTTACCACAGCATCTGTTAGAGTTCTCGTAACGGCGGTCAAATCTGCTTCCGGTCCTTGGGTGTATTTTTCCAGGGCCAGCATTTCGGCTTGAAACAATTCCTGACCATATTCCTTGCGAGTCTGAGGATCCAGCTGAGTCCACATATCTCTGGCTTGTTCCAGCAGCGCGGTGTTGTCCTTCAGCCACGCATTACCAGATACATACTCTCCAGTTTCGACAATCACGACGTCCACTCCCCATCTCCGCATCTCGAGTCTTAAACAAGATCCCCAAGCTTCCACTGCGGCCTAAGGTATATTTATAATTTTTTTATCGAGCCAGTCGAGCTTCATTAATCCGTCCAGTCTAATGATTATACAAATAGACAAGCTAAGAGATGCAATAGAGAAAGAAAGTTTACCTTGAGCGCGCAATAAATGCCTCGGACGGGACTCGGTATTCGCGCCAAGAGACTGCTAACGAGAACAATTCGACCCTTTGATCTTCTGACTAAAGGTAGAAATACCTGTTACGGAGAAAGCGAATGGTGTTGCTGTGTTATGTAAGTCTCATAACATCTCATCTTTTGATATTTGTAAATGCGTTTGACATTTACAAATGTCCTTAACCCTTTGAGTACTGTTGGCGCATATATGCGCTCACAATCAGAGAGAGAGAGAGAGAAGTTTATTTTGACTTGTAGGCGCTCACAATCAGAGAAAGAAGTTTATTTTGACTTGTGAGCGCATATATGTGTGCCCGCAGCCATCTATTACTACTATTTTTGTTTCGGCTATACAGAGTGCTTCTTCATCGCGCTGTTCCGCACCGAAAGAGTTAAGATTTGTTAATTACTTTGACATTGTATACCTGAGTTAAACGTGCCAAGCCAATGAGATTGATGTCTATGCTTCGCTTGAGAACAGATGGGGGCACCCACTCGCATTCTCCGAGCGTCACCCAAGCAGCAGCATGCACGAGTGCCCACAATCCTGAAATAACGTAGCAGTAATGACGTAGGTAGGCATAATTCATTGCACAGAAGATTGATAATTTAATGAAGCTTTAACGTGATATAGCGATATACCAGGTGCTCCGTCCGGCAAGTTTTCATTGACATAAAGAAAGGTTGAGTGTATATCACGCTCGCTGGTAACATCCAATTGTAGCACGTGCAGTCTTCCAGAAGCGTCGTCTTTTAATCTCTGCATGACCTCTTCATTCTCAGCTTTATTGCTGAATCCAGCAAATACGGTGAAGCCCTTGAAAGGAAAAAAAGCTGTAGACGTTGGCGCTAAATCGCTCGATTTGTAATGTAAATTAAGTTTCATAGATACCAAGTCATCCAGTTGTTTAGCTAAAGCACATCCGACTCGTGAATCGCAACCTGTGATTAATATCGCCTTTCCCGCTGCAGTAACCTGTTGCATCAAGATCGTTTTATGCGTGGTTGAAAGTGTGGTGTTTACAACTTATTGAGTCACAATCTGATAGTGGAATTTCATAATACTTTAAAGCCATCGATCGGGAAAGTTTCAAAGGCCCTTGTAAAAAACGGTGTAAAGCAGGAAGTATGGTGACGTGCAATGATGACGGCTGCATTATGCGGCGTTTGTGCGAAAAAAGGTCGGAGGTTGAGCGAATCAGGCACGATAAAGGAATCGGTGAAAAGCCCGATATTGAGGGCCTTTGAACTTTCAAATACTCGTAAATGTGACATTATGAAAGGTTGACGCACAGAATCTTGCCGTCAAAGGGATATGCGAGTTGCAGCTTAATTTGTCTATACAATTTTTTATAAAATCACACGAAAAAGGGTGATAGAAATGTAATTGAAGGGGTAGGGCTGTATTCAGATTAAAATTTGAAAGGTACATATGTATCAGTACTATTTGTTGTGTCAGGAAGCATATGAAGCACAAATCTCTTACCTTTAGATTGTGATAGAATAACGTGGATCCTATGGATATAATCAATAGCAATACGAAGAGCACGAAGCTAGACGTTTGTGAAATCCCAAAGGTATTCAGTATAGTTGCCAGGATGACTGCGATCGCATGTGAAAATGCTATCGGTAATAGGCACCTCTCTGCTAGCTCCCATGTATGACTGTCGTCAGGTTCTTTGTTTCCACTCGGCGACGGCATCCTCGGTCCAGATTTGATATGAAAATTTTAATGAAATACGATTGACTCCATTCGAATAGATTCCGTGATTCTCCTAGAAGCCCTAACTGGGCTATGTCTGAGCTAACTTTAAACTTAAAACAGTGTCTAGTCTCATTGCATCTAAATTTAACTGCAGTGCTGTGTTCTAAGTTCAAAGATCCTAATGCAAAGATAGCAGATTAAAATTTGCAATTTTAAATTCAAATTATAACACGTGTGAAGCTTTCTTTTATTAAAACTTTCAATGATTAATATTCTGTAAAATTATTAACACAGGTTTTCTGTATAATATTATGATGAATAACAGATACAGTATATATTGCAAAATTAAAAAAACATAATTTATCAAAAATGCATTTTAATAATTTAATGATTTTACAAAATTGATTGATAATAAATTGCTAATAAATAATATACTGTTAAAATAAATTTAGAAAATTATAGCATAATATATTGTACAATACATACGTAATATTTTTTTATAATAATGAATTTTTATATGTAAACGTTTTTCGCAAATATTACATTTACCTGTACAGACGTTGTTATTTATCATTGCAATGGATAAAAAAATTATACAAAAAACTCTAATTGCATTTTCAATTGTTATCATCACGCAGATTAATTTTTTTCAAATTATGCCAATGTGAATATTAAAAAAATTATCAGGTGCTTTAATCGTATATTTTTAAAATAAAATATGTAAATTTTTATTCGTGGAATTGTATCGTCAAATCTGAATTGCATATACCGCAGACGTTTTTATTTTTAATTGTCCAAGTTCAGAGAAACGGATCGATGGGCACGTGTCGCGAATTATCGTGAATCGTGTTTATGCATCCGGAGGTCGGCGCAGGTATTTTTGTAAATTCTTCGAAGTTAATAAAAAAATGAGTGCGGCCGCGCGGAGTGGGGTAGGTTATTGATTTTTGCGTAGGGGTGCCACGGCAGAGTTGGGCGGGTTGGTCGGACAAGGTGGGGGTAGGATGCTGTGTTGGGGTGTCTCTCGCTCGCGCGTATATACCTGCGGGAGAGTCTACAGAGGGTATAAATAGAAGGGGTAGTTGCACCGTTGACCCAGTGTTGGGTTGACACACGGTCAGTTCAGTCACTCGAAGCGCCGTACTCTCTCACTCTCTCTCTTTCTGTCGCGCCGCACAATCGTCGCCACCGCCGACTCCCACTGGTTTTTTTCCAATCTGTGAATTGTTGAACGTGCGTAGCGAGCGTTCGAGTTTCTCTCTCAAGTCCTCGTCAGTCCAGGTCGATCCAATGCAATCCTAAACACTGCCCTTTTCATACCCGCTTGTTTCTCTCCCGAGCAATACGATTTTTTTTATCCAAATCGGATCAGCGATACAGCTGCTGACATCGTCGCCGAGGAGATATTTTTACCAGTCGACCTTAAAAGAAATAAGAAAACATTTGTACACTGTGTTCACCGTGGTAGTGTTTGTTACACCCCGCGTAAGGGCGTATTCCTCCTCACCTCCGTCATCATTGGACGCGCGGATTGTTCGAATTTCCCGACACATCGTCGATGCGCCGACCAACTGATGTGCAACGAGAATCAGGCCTTAGCAGCAGTCAATTTTTTCGTCGAGCAAATAAATCCTGTTTTTTCGAAACGGTCGCGCTTACCGCTGGACATTTAAATTCCAGTGTACAGTGAAGCGATATCGGACAGAGTTCAGCGACCAGCGAAGTTAAGGATCCGTGAATCACCAGCGACAGTTGAGGTCTGCTCATCCGTGAGGAAAAATGTCAGACACTACGGGAGTCACGCAGGGGATGGGCAATCCTTACAAGATCGTTGATCACAGCAGGGAGCGGAGAAAAGGCATCACCGCTTCGTCGCTCAAGGAGTTGACCAACATCGCCCGCAGTCGCCTAGCATTGCCCGTGGATGCGGATCTGACCATCGTACTCGAGCAGGATGGTAAGTCATTTTATTTTTGCTGTAACATACATACGTAACGCGGTATACTCAACATAACATACGTAATCGTCAGTTTTCAATATCTTCAATTGATATTTAATATTAATTAGTATTATTAAATTATTTTTCACGTACCGTTATAACATTTGTTTAACTGTTTTTTTGTGGTAACTATTTTTTATTTTCACTTTCAACGGGGCGAGTCCTCTTATACATTGATAAATATTGCTTTCAGGAACGGAAGTAGACGATGAAGAATATTTTGCCACGTTAGAAAGGAACACGAGCTTGATGGTGTTGCACGGTGAGCAGAAATGGGTTGCTGTCGGAAGCAGCAAGGCAGCGTCTCGCTACATCGTCGTAGATGATGTGGACAACGTGGAGGGTAGTTCAAGAATTGATAAGATTCGACGACGACGGACACCTATAGAGCCCTTGGTGTCGTCGTTGCACGGTGATCCGTCGCATATCTCACTGCTTGGAGGAAACGACTTGGAATTACTCAGCGACATGGATCCTGACAGTCTAGCCGATATAGTGCCTGACAGGTAAATAAAAATAAATGATTATTAAAATGACAATTAATAAGAGCAACTTAACAGACACGATTAAATACAATAACAATTAAAATGATTATATGAGGAAAAGTAAAAAAGTAAAAGAACTTTTTTAAAAGATTTGATTCCTTAAATGTTTTTTACTTTTTGACTTTGTATAGTAATATGCAAATTACTACAATTAATAATATAAAAATAATAATTAAAAATAAACGTTCCCTTCATTATTTTAAGATAAAATTGATATCCTCAGTTAGCGCATTGTTAATTTTTGTTTTCATATCATTACAGACTTTTCCTCGAGCAGCTGAAGGAAGCCTCAGGTAGATTCCTGGCGGAGAAGCGACAAGCTCAAGAATCTATGGCTCTTCTTCAGATGTACGCAAGTGGTGGTGAGATGGAGCGAGCGTAGGCCATGTGGGGGGTGGGCGCCCTCACATTGGCTAACATGTATAGAGTGCGACGTCGCATCTTCTACAAAGGTCGCCAGCTGCAACAAACTTTAATCCTGTTCTGGAATTGAGCCCATCTGAATTTACATGATAATAAAGTAACTGAGAACGTACGCATTAGTTGCTGAAACTAAATGCACGTATCAGTGACGAAGATCTCATATTTTCCCTCGCACACGAGGAACATAGAGAATCGCAGAGACGAAGATATATATTGTACAGAGATACGAGGCGTGAGCAGCTTAAGTTCACCAATTTAATATTGTAATAATGTATAGATTTCGTCTTATATATAGAGGAAGTAGTAGCTCTAAGTTCTTTTGTAGGATTTTTTTAATATCTATATACACACACATACAACACAATTCAGTGGCACAACTATGCTTTGGCAATACTTTACATCCTTAGTAAACATAACGGAATTGCTTTAATACAGCGTAAGATACCTTGCTATATCGACAGAATAAATATACGCAATTTAGCCGCTAACTTATCTGAATACGCATAAAAAGGAAAATTAAATGAATAATTTCGAAATGGATATTCTGTCGCGATGTTGCCATATCAAGTCGATGGGAACGTGTTTTGTTTGCGAGATTTTTCTACTTAGATACACGTCATACCAAGATTTAGTTCAACGAAGATCGATGGAATAATTAAGACTGAATTTATAGGGAAAACAAAAACCACCCCCCCCCCCCCATTAAAATCACCAATTCATTGTACACTAACATTAGTGACGTAATAGCGAGAACAAAAAAAGTCGATATCAGCCCTTTGATACCAAGCAGAGTTGTGCATTTGATAAAAAAGAAAAAAAAAACAAGGAAACCTGCATAAAAGAAAACCAACAGGTGTTTCTGATAAGACTACGCATACACGTAACGGTACTAAATATTATTTCCATTTTATGAATATATAGTTACCACATAACGAGCAATGTCATATTTATATTCACGAAGAATCCTCGAGAATTACAAATATGCATTTACAACACGTTTTCTAAAACCGTAATACAAGTGTATGTCTACTCTCCACAGAAATGCCCTGTTTCAATATCGTTCTTTGATATATATATCGTATTGTAATTATCACATCTCTATGCACCTAATTACATTATACATCAGGGCCGTGCAAAGGAGGAGTGCACAGCATGCACCGCACCAGGGCCCCCAGTGCTAATGGGTCCCGAAGTTTTCACTTAAATATGTCTATTTTTTATTGTTTCTATCTCAATTAATCTTTATTCAATTTAACTTGCACATACAAATAATATTCATTTATATTTATAAATTTATATATGTTCTATATATTTACATTTTATAGAACTATTTATGTTTTGTACAATTTGATTAAATTCTACTTTTTTTAAAATGTACACGTTTATAAATAAATATAATTTTAATTATACTGTTTTTTATATTTTCTAAACCCCTTAAAGCTTTTTTAATACGAAATTTATGAACAGATAGGGTTTACCTTTGCACTAGGGCCCCAAGAACTCTTTTTGTACGGCCCTGTTATACATATTTACATTTCTCATAACATTGCGATGAAATTTACATAAATTCGGGAATGAAAAGCGCAACGACTAGTATTGAACTGTCATCGATCGGATATATCGCTAAACCAGGCGCAATACATTTAGTTCCGCAAATCGATTTTAGGAAATTAGTTTATAATGAATTGAAGTGATTAATACTTCCTCGAAATAAATTAAGATGTGCTAGAAAGTATAAAAGAACATATTAAATAGTACTGCCAGTTAAAGCAAAGATTAATGCTCAACGATGTCCCCGATTATAAAGAGGTGCATTTTCTATTACCTGCATTTAATGCGTGGTACATATACGAAAATGGCATTGTATATTAACGTATGCCTGTTAATCATTGCTACAAATATGTCTTACAAGTAAATACGCATTGATGATTTTAGAAGTTAAGTTTTAATGGAGTGCAAGAAGTTGTCGTTTACAAGTTGTCGTAGAGCGTTTGAGGCATCTTTCACTCGACTAGACGCATTGCGCAATTGGCACACAGCCTCTTGTAACACCAGTTCACTTCGCAGCAATTGTCGATTGACAGCCGACAATTCTTGTACGCTGGTTGTGATCGCGCCCTCGGTCATTTGCAGAATGTCTCTGTCCAAGGTTTCATTGCATTCGTCTGTTCAGATTTAACATATGTCAATTTAAATGATGTTCAAAATTCAACAAGCGATACGTGTATATTTCAGTTTGAGATATAATTTACTTCTATAAAAAAAACTATATTGAATGCTGTTTTATAAGAACTTATGAGAGAATTGTTTTTGTACAGTATAAATTAGGTAGATACTATAATTATGTGATCGAGTTTTAGAGGCAGTAAAATCGAAATTGAGTAAGATAGAGATATGGATTACTGGAAAAAATTAAGTTATTGATATTCCACACCTGAACAATCTTATATAATACTGTTTAGCTATAGTTATGCACATTGTACTGCTGTAACATTAATAAAAGAATGTTAACAAAAATAAATAGTGCTTTACGATATTTTATATAACGCATGAATATAAGTATAGAAAAAAAATAATACAAATTGGAAAACAATTATATAAGTACTTTAAAATATTACTTACGTAATTTTTTGTGAAGCAAGCTATTGTATTTGATAGAACTTTTTTTATATTTTGGTATTTTGAAATCTGCGTAAGGTGGACATGTCATGGCATCTATTGCTCCACTAACGCTACTCAAACTTGTTAGATCTGTAAATTAAAAAATATATATTATTTTATGTAAATAATAAAATATCAATAAAAGTAATAAACTTACCATCGTCAGATTCTGGTGCTTCACCTGAGATAATAGTCCCACAATAAGTTGATGGTGTTCGTGTAGTAGGAAATCCTAAACCCTGCAAACAGCAAGATTTATATATTATTTATATATAATATCTGTGTCAATTGAAAATTCAAAGCATAAATTATAAGATACAGTACAATATAATAACGTACAGTGACAATATTTGAAGCCTCATCATCAGATTCTGGAGCTTCTCCAGAAACAACTACAGCTTTCAAATCCATCTTTTGAGAGATTATGTATGTTTATAGAATTTATAATATAAAACACTATAATAAAAATATTCAAGAATTCTTGACACAAAATTGGTCAGTTGTATTTATTATTGTTTTCTTAGTTGGTGTGCGTTTTCATAATAACATTTATAACAAATATGATCAAAATTTCACGATATTAAATAATAACTTTTCAATATGTTTCTCTTTAGTAAACAACCTTCAAGCCATTTTGCTCATATTATCATTGTTTTTAAAATGTCGTTTTTATATGACGTTTCACATAGACCAGTGCACTGCTAGTGTCACACAGTGAATTTGAGGTTAGTTTTGTTATTGGAAAAAAAATATATATTGGCGGAACGAGCTCCCAGACTGCTCTAAACTCCTTGAAAATCATATAAAAATGTATTAATTTTATAGAGAAGTGATGCTGTAACATAAAGATTTTATTATTAAATATATTTAACTATTTTCTAAAACAATTTATGCAAATATATATTAGCAAATAAAAATACTTTACATTTTATCTTGCTTTTAATTTATATACATATTTTAATATAAATAAATTAATTACACAATGAATGAATAACTATTTACACGCTCTCTGTATTCTTACATATTTTCAACATATGTGCTATAAAAATTCTAAGTATATTGTTTCTATAATAAATTTATTATGTAAAATAGAAAATTAATATGAAACAAGCAGCACTGTACATTTTTATGAATATTAAGTAACTATATTATCCACGCAAAATATCCAATTCTTCAGGTGTGACGTGCATTCTCAATTCTTTTTCGCATATAAGATCCTGAATTTGTGTGAGAAGTTGGGGTGCTATTTCAGCCGCATCTATATAAATGCTTCTTGCCCATGGACATTGTGCAACACTCTCATGATAAATTTCTTCTCCCTTTTTCTCGCACAGCTCGTGCTCTCGAAGAAGGAGCATATACAGTCTCCAAAGTAATGGGCAACATCTGGTCGATGGTGTCCTAAAAACAATTTTATGTAATGCATCTGTTTGTAATGTAAAATTGCAATGTATATACATGTATAGATATAAATATGACTTCATTTAAATTTAGAATGTTATGAAAATCTATTTATATTGTACCTAGAGAGGGTTTGATGAAACGATAACAGTTTGTTCAACATAGCGTTCACTGCATCAGGATTATCAAGTTTTACTAATATATCAATACGTCTGCGAGCGGCCAGACACATTGCAATGGCTCTCCACAATTCAATTTCAGTGTTCGTACTGTTGAATCTCCAGGTCGGCAATTCACTCTGTAACAACAATTTGTCAATTGTAGATTGATAGAATAAAATTATCTTATATAAATAACACAATTATTACAATGAATTATATTAATATAACGGCTTTACCTCTATGATAGCAAATATAGATAAGGCATAAAAATTATTCGGATATAAGCCTAAGGTTGCACTCAGTGTTTCTTTTAACATATCCTGCAATTTCTGAGTCCGTTCGTAATGTAATTGCAAAATTGCAATTTGGCTTTCGTATAACATTTCCTGCAACAATTTTAAAATAATTTGTGCATTAATTGTTTCAATTTAGATTTCCCTCTTAGCAGCAGATTTAATTGCATTATTAGAATATTAAATCGATAATTACCTGTAAACAGGGATGCTCCACAGAATGATCGATACACTTCCTCAATACATCGATAACAGTTTTAATATGATTGTATTTGACATACAGGAAGTACGCATAACATACAATCGCATCGCATTCCAAGTTTGATAGAAAGAAAGTATCTTTTATATTCTCAGCAGGAGGATTTTCCAGAAATTTTTCTACGTACGAATGTAAATATTCTTCCACCAATGAGTCCTGATTTTCACTTTTGTCAGGTACCATTTGACCAAAGATTTTTAATATCCATTTGTTGTGCGACTGATGGTACGTTCTGGTATCAAGTAAAGTCTCGATGAACGTCCTGTACACATGGAAGAGCGCTGCTCTTTCAGACATGTCCGTAATTGAAGAAGGACATGTCTCTTGACATTGAATGGCATATTCAAGAATGTTCATGCAATTAGTGAATCTGCCCATTTCCAATTCTATCAAAGCGTATTCCTTATAAAAATATAAATTATTTCTATTTTCTTCCTTCTTTAAAAATTCTTTTACTGCTGCCCTCAGTTTCTTTGCTCTACAATGAAAAATATAATTAAACTTACATGTTAATTAAATTTAATTTCAGAGGACTATATATATATATAAGAATCTTACTTATTGGCGTATTTGGGCTCATCTTTGTTGAGGGAAACTACCAATCTTTCTAATCGCAGCCACCAAACATATATGTTCGTTCGTTGCAACGAAGGTAAGCTTTCCGCGATTGTGTGAAATATTTTACGTACAAAATCTAAGTATGGCTCTTGCGCTGGATGAAACTGAAGATATTGAGGACCCGATGTTAATCGTCCTTCAAGAACATCCTTCAACAATTCTTTTCTTTGATTGTGACCAGCCATTTCGCCTACCATAGGATACATGAATGGAAGTAATACTTCTAAAGATTCTACTCCCCAATGGAAATCTTTCAATGATAACTCCTGTAAAAATGTAATTTTGTAATAATAAATGTAATATGTCTAAATCTTTTGTATTAAATAATTTAACTTACCTTCATATAATAATCTCGACAAGGTAGAAGCGGTACTTTTAAGCACAAAAAAGAATAAATAGCCATTTTAAAGTTTGAGTTACGAGAGAGAATTGGATGTACAAAGTCTGCTACATCGTCTGGTAAAATATATCTTCGAGAATCTCCAACCAGTTCTAAATCGTCCTTAGTCACACTAATCCAATGACAATTTTCTCTCAATGATTCCGTCCTTTGCCATAATTGATTAAGCGGTAATTGTGATATGATTATCATTTCTTCCATTTCAACTGGAAATGAATATTATTATGAAAATCTCAGTAGTGTTAATATTATATTACAACAAAAGATTCTCCCATTAGATTCTCCCTAAAAAAATTAATTAGATATTTTATTTACTGTTATAATTTTTTTTACATTTGCATAATTATTATATATGCTTACTTAATTTCTTTTCATCTATTGGTCCTTGAAAAGATAAACTATTCCTGTTCAAATCCAGATTCAAATTCAGGTTTAGGCGTATTGTTTCCCACATTTGTTCCCATAATCCTGTATGCCTTAGGAAAATTAAGCATTGATACAGCATATCTAGATAAAACACAAATGTAATTAATATTCATATAATAAAATTAAAGTAATGATTAAATGCTTTGCTACTTACATAGTAGTTGTTCATCATAGACAGAAGGATTTGTTCTTGCACGCTGTCTCAGTATGTTAAAACATTTTGAATATAAAACCAACACTCGAGGTACAGTACATATAGCCAGTGAAGCTTGTGTGATCATAATAAAGTGTTGCCATAATACAATATTCCCTGAGTCTTTATTAACTAAAGTTTCCAATTGAGTTGACAGTTCATCAGAAGGTGTTAACTCTGTCATAAAATGTAATTTTAGTTTTAATAATTCCTTGGAGTCATTTTTTTCAAGCGCTTTTTCCACAATAGATAACTTCTTTAATATTGTAGCTCGACGCGTATCTTTGGCCAATTGGTGTCTCTGATAGTGAACTAGAGTATCCTGTAAAATTAATGTTTAGATATCGTTTAGTCTTATATAATATGTCATATATTAAAGTATTATAATGTTATTTATGATGAAATATTAAATTAAATAAAATTAAATATTAAAAAAGAATTTTATTTAACACCTGAAAATTGATGTACTGCAGCCAGAGCTCAATATTATGTGGATTTTCTGTCAGTTGCTCATTATATTCTCGAGTTTTGCGTATCTGTTCCTCTTCTAAATTCTTGCACCAAGAAGATAAACTTTCATCTGTTTCTGGGTCTTCTTTTAAAATTTCCTTCGCAGATGTTTTTTAATAACTGTATCCTTTTTCTTTTCTGCCTCAACAAAATCAATATTTTTGACATAATATCTGTGCGATGCATCTTTTTTTGGCTGCTTGTATTTAACAAAACCAATAGATTTTTTATTAACATCATAAAATGGTCTCATTCTAGAGGAAAATGTATTTATATTATTATTCCCTTTATCTCTATGCCTGTCTTCAAAGTACACATTTTTAACATCTTGCTCGTATTCTGGTTTGAATCGCTTATTGTCATGTGTGTGCTTTTTTTTCCCTGCCTTTTGTGTTTTATCAATTTTAAGTTCTTTTTGCTTTGTATGTTGATATACTTTTACATTTGAAGAAGTTGCTTTAAATTGTATTTGTTCTTCTGCATTAGAAGCATCATGTAAAGATTCATCGGATGAAGAATACAGATATAAGTCAGGTGAATCTTTTTTCAATTGCACTTTTGTTTGAAAACTTGAATTGGATAACCATTCTGTGGTAGCATTATCTAAAATTAAAAGAAATATATATATTATACATATCAAAGTGTATTCATTTAGAAACAAAATAATAAGAAAAATATTAATAAGATATTTATATTTACTAAAATACTACATATGTCATTATTCTTGAATATAAACATTGATTAAAATTTGAAATAAATTACCTGCATTATCACAACTTGTTGATTCAGAATTAACATTTGAATAAGCTGGAAATAGAGACATGCTTTCTTTTTCACTTTTCACTTTTATAAATATTTCTTTTCTTGTTAGGATATAACACTACTTTGCTTTTTCTCTGACATTAACCTAACCTAACCTACCCTAACCTTCTTGCAGCTAAATCGGGGGGATGACCGCTCTCAGGCTTCTCTCTGATGATACTAATGTATCGATATTTCAGATAACTATAATTTTCTTATGTTACCATTCAGACTTGTTTCATCTGACTGGTTCTTACTTCAACCACAATATTTGCCAAAACGGCGTTAGTAAACATCCAATTATTTGAGCTGTGCGATCTTCGTCTCTCTGTGTTGTGACAATGAATCAGTCGGTACACACGTGATAGATAATTGACAGGTAGAAAATATTTAATGGAGCAAAACCAAAATTCACACAGGCAAAAAGCAAAATATGATTAAATATTTCGAATCATGTGAATTAATTGCATTGATATATTAGACAATGTATCACTCATTCCAGGTTACTCAGAAGGTGCATGACAATGCATTTAGATAAGCATAAAAAAATACTGTGCTCTATAGATTATGTAATTTTTTTTGCTCAGAAAAGGAGAATGTGTAGAAGGATACACAATATATGATCACATAAGTAGCAAACATAACGTTTTTATATTGTCATTCTTTTCTATTATCATTAGAATACGTCGTATAAATGTTTCGGAAGTGCAATTTTGTCAGGCAGCTTTGTGGTGCTGCAAATGCATCGACAGAAGCTGCTGCAATTGCGGACACATCAACTCGAGTAAGTATAGTTGCATCTGTTACACTTTTTAACAACCAATGATTTTATTTATTAATGTTGTCACAAAATAATTTAACTTGTCTATCTATTATAGTTGCAACGGCTCAGAGTGAGATTACAGGAAGATGAGCAGCGTGAAATACTTACAGATACATTTGGACGCAAGCACACATATCTTAGGATATCTGTCACAGAACGCTGCAACCTTCGCTGTGGGTCTTCCCTAAAATCACACATATTTTAATTATGACACAAATCATTATACTGTTATCATTGCAGGTACATATTGCATGCCTGCAGAAGGCGTTAAGTTAACCAAGAAGGACGGTATTTTGAGAACCGATGAAATAATACAAATAGCTGATCTTTTTGTCAAGGAGGGAGTGCGCAAGATACGTTTGACAGGTGGTGAACCTACGGTCCGTAAGGATATTGTGGACATTGTCGGTAAGGATTTTTTTTCAATATTACTTTAAGATTATCACTATGAAGCTAGTTTTTAAGATCTGCTTACTTATAATTTGACGCGTTAGAGCAACTCAAGCAGCTGAAGGACTTGGAGCAGGTTGCAATTACTACAAATGGGTTGACTCTTACTCGTCAATTGTCAGCGCTTCAAAGAGCTGGATTGGGTGCACTAAATATATCATTGGATACCCTTAAAGAGGAACGTTTTGAGATATTTACTCGCAGGAAAGGCTGGCCAAGAGTTATAGCTTCTATAGATCTTGCTGTTCAGCTTGGTTACAACCCTGTAAAAGTAAGTTTAATCAATTATACAAATTTAAAATGTCACAAGCTTATAAAAATACAAATATGACTTTATATATGTGCTTGTGATTGAATGATCAGGTCAACTGTGTGATAATGCGAGGCCGTAATGACGACGAAATAATTGATTTCGTTGATTTTACAAGAGATCGCCCTATCGATATACGCTTCATAGAATATATGCCGTTTCAAGGAAACGAATGGAAGGAAAATAAAATGGTTTCTTTCGATGAGATGAAGGGGATAATACGAGAAAAATATCCCGATTTCCAGGCTCTGCCAAATCAGCCCAACGATACATCTAAGGTTTGTTTTTCGATAAAAATGAATAAATTATTTGTCATATACAGTGTTCTTTCAACAGGCATATCATGTACCAGGATTTGTCGGGCAAGTTGGATTTATCACATCCATGAGCGAACACTTTTGCAATTCGTGCAATCGTTTAAGAATAACTGCGGATGGAAACTTGAAAGTATGCTTGTTCGAAGGCAAGGGCGAGGTCTCGCTTAGGGATGCTTTGCGAAACGGAGCTTCGGAAGATATGCTTAAGGACCTGATAAGAGGAGCAGTATCGCGAAAAAAGAAGCAACACGCAGGTATATATCGATATGTTGAGATAGAAAATGGCGTATTTGATTAAAGAAATTTAGTAAAAATATTTAGTCAATTAAGAATTAATTTTGTTTTTTTTTTATTGGAGAATTTATATTTTTTTCGTCTTTTGATTTCTTGCATTTCATTTTATTTTACATGAACTGTAGCAGTGTCGACAAACCGATTATGTCTATATCTTTGCTGTGACACGTGTGTTTCAGGAATGTTCAATCTTACACAGATGGAAAATAGGCCAATGATCCTCATCGGGGGTTAATTGATAGTTTTATGACAATTAACCAACCGTATTAAAGTACATTCGGTTTTGTCGAGACGTGCACAGCTGTTATCGTAAATTTTTTTTAATCGTACACTTATTCAGCGATAACAATATTACACAATTAACTTGAAAACGTGTTTACGTTGCAGCTAATCGTAAGGAAAAATTCTATCACATAAAGCATAATATCGCATCGATACGAAGCATACAGTACAAACGTATCCCATACACGCCCATATATTTTAAAAATAACGCAAGTATTAGAATGTATTCATCGTTATCGCATATAGATGAAACTGGTAAAGCGAATATGGTGGATGTCGGATGGAAGAACGACAGTAAACGCGCAGCATTTGCGAGAGGATACGTGAAGATAGGTTCCGTTATCAGCGATCTGATCGCGGAGAACAATGTGAAAAAGGCGATGTGCTGTCGGTTGCCCAATTGGCCGGCATTATGGCAGCTAAACGTACTTCCGATCTTATACCTCTGTGTCATCCGCTCTCCCTGTCTTACGTAAACGTGCATCTGAAATTGAACGAAGAATTGCACGTCGTTGAAATTACATCGGAGGTCAGATGTACCGGCAAGACCGGCGTGGAAATGGAGGCTTTAACTGCCGTGAGTGTAGCGGCGCTCACGATCTACGATATGTGCAAATACGCAGCCACTCCTGGCACAATGCAAATATACGGTATAGAATTGGTATGGAAAACAGGCGGTACGAAAGGTGACTTTGTCATAGATAAAACGTAAGCGATCCGGTTGATATTGTTCATCGACAGCACAAAGAACCATTCTTCCATGTTTCTAGCTCTTTAAATAATACAGAACAGTACAAAAATGCGAAGAAACAAACGTACGAAAGAGAGAAGTCTGAAATATTGTAAATGTTGAAAAATTTGTTCGATTTTTTATATTGTATTGTTTTTGTAGTCTAATTTTTGAGATGCAGTTTTTATACATCGTGTATGGGGTCTTATATATATATTTATATATTTCTCGCAGATAAATGCAACAAAATTCTATGTTATGAAAAACTAACATATGTTTTATAATACTATAAATCGAAAAAGATGCTAATTTTATATAATTATCAATTTTTAATTCAAAATGAACGTATGGCGAACCTTTTTTAATTTTATGCAGTACTTTTGTTCTTATCCGCGCGTATGATTAATATAAAAACGAATTGTACGTGCTTATTGATTGTACTTATTACAATGAAAATGTCATTATTCCAATATTTTAATCTTCTACAATTTAAACTTACAATAATCATATAGGATTTTAGATGTAAATAGAAAAAACTCTTAAGAACAAAAAAGTAGATACTTTTCGAAAGGAAATGTCTATCCAGATTTGAACACATATTTGTCAAACTATGATACAAAATATGTTGAAAATTTGTATATATTGTTATAAGAAGCTGCGAAAGAAATTGAAGCAGAACAATAACGAGAAAACGTATGTATAAAATAATGGCGCTAATTTTTCCACTTAGAGAAAATTGTTTTTCAACCAGAATTCAATATATTTTTTATATTCTATCGCGCGAGTATGAATGCGAAGAGCTATTGCCTATTGAAGAAAAGAGAAACATAGTGATATCGGATCTTGCCTTAAGTTTTTAATATACATTAAATATATATTAATCACATTGTAATTTTTCAAGCGTTGTTATATTTTGAAATTTTATTATAATAAATCGTTTAACATGCAAAAATAAGGATCTTCTCTGCTCATCCCTTATTTTCCTCCCTTCATAGGAGATTGCTTTAGAAATAGCGAATACGCCGTAAACCACTTTATCTGCGGACACTTTGCGAACGGGAATGGAAGAGGTAGAAAACTCCGTTCCGGAGAGGGTATATGCGACGATCCGCTTCGGTAAATCGCGATAATGTACGGCTGTTGCGAGGACCGCGCGCCGGATAAACATGTCTCGCCAGTTAAGGGAAATCATATCTGATGCCGAGGACCTTTCGGCGCAATCGCACGTACCCGGTGGAATGGGCACGGCGCCACCGTGCCAGGATTTCAGAGCTTTTTCGTGTCCTCCGCGACGAGCAAAATTCAGTGCTCGGCCCGCAACCGTATCGCACCGCTCCGAACTTTGATCCGCCGTGCGATCGGGGCCGACTCGCGTGGGATGGAAAGAATCATCGACGATATGACTATTCATTGTCGTTGAATTGAACTTTTTCTGAGGAAATTACGTGTCGTCTGACACGGGGGATAATTTTGAACGACGCTTATTTCGAATTGTTCGGCATTTAATTGGAAAAATTGATTGCGTAGTGCGAAAAGTCGATTAATTATGTTAGATATAGTTTTTCCGTTTCGTAAAAACGGCGGGGTAGATTTCGATTCGCGGTAACGCTTCCCCTTTCCTTTTGCATGTGGAGGAGTGCGAGTGGAGGATCGGGGTGAGGGTGACAGCATTATGCCAACGATCGGGGTGATCCCGCGGGTACTTTTCGAAGTTCCGCGAGTGGAAAGTGATCGTTTGTATCGGACGGTGGTGGGAAGATCGCTGTCAGCGGCAGAACGCGCGCGTGAATTAGATTAAGAAATGTGTTCGAAGTGAAAAATGGCCCCGTTCCACGGCATGGCCCTTCTGCTCCTGGGAATCGGATACCTGTTACACGCGGAACCACTCTACGGCGAACGCGGCATCGGTAAATGTCCCGTACTTCCGCCCAAAAAAGAGACGGCTCCGACGATTTTTCTATCCCCGGCATGTACGTGTGTGTATGTGGGTGTGTGGGTGTGAGTAGGTGTGTGTTACAGCACCAACAGCACGTAATTTTTATTGTACGAAGCTGAAGTAATTTCGCGAAGTCGCGCCAAGCCGGTATACGGTGTAGAAGGCGGTGTAAATCACTTTTATTACCGAATTTGTTTTGTTATAAGAAAGGATAAAATTTAAAAAAAAACTCCTAAAACACGTCTTCTGAACGTCGAAGAAATATTTTAACGAAATCTATGTCTATAAAAGTGAAATATGATTATAATTAGCTATTGGAAATTGAAACTTGTAAAATTTTTTAAATTGCATTTTACTGTGACTTTTGTAACGTCAAATAGATTAACTTATCACAATATAAATTAATTTATAATTTAATTTCGTCACTTTAATTTATCATTTTTGATTATATTATAAAGTGAGTATGAAAAAAAAAATGGAATAGTGTGTGTGCGTGGCTAATAATAAAATAAATCATTAAATACAATAATTAATTAAATTAAATTAATTATCTACATAAAGTGATTTGGTTAAATATTTATTTTATTTTATGATTTAGGATAAATTATATAATGCAAATAGGAATAAAATATCAATTAATCATGATTAGCAATAATCAATATAAAAGCAGCAATTGTATTCTCATCCTCAATAACTCGTTTATTTGTTTCCTTTTAAATTAAACGTGAAATTAATTTTAACGAAACGACTAAAGAAGGTACCAGCAGAACAGGTGCTTTGTGAATAAAGAATAAGTAACAACTCTTTTATAAGAGATGAAATCTAAACAAAAGGCTGTGATTAAGAAAGCAGAAATTATAGTTTACGTACATTTTCACTTTTCTTATCTGACGTAATCTTAGTATTTTATGCTGCAACAATAGCATAATAACTTGTCAACGTGATAGCAGCGTACTTCGCGACAATTGTAATAAATCGCTGTTTTACTTTTTGAAACTATTTCTAGCATTCTTATCTTGCGCGCCAAGAATAATTCAATATCAGCGTTAAAAATATATTTATGACATCGGTTTTCAGAAAAAAAAATTTATAAAAATTTGGAAGCATATGTTAATGGAAGTGAACGAAACATGCGCAAGCCAAATTGACGAACACTTACGCAAAATACAAAATATAAAAAAAATTTAATTTTTTCAAGTAATTGTTCTACGTGTGCACGCATACACAAAACTCATATGCATAAATTAAATTATAATCTGATCGCGTATGTGATATATCAGATCGCGTATGTGATATATCAGATACGTATCAAAGGATATTTGAGGAGTTGTAATAGGATCAGAGTATAATTTGCATTATACTCTGACCTGTAGTTTTTCTGGAATTATAACTTTTTTTCCCTTCTGACAAGAATATTTCACCGAGGATGATAACGAGTTTTCAGCACGGTTTATCTCTATTTCAGCGTTTGTGCATCTCAACAACGACACGTACGGAAAGGGGGAGAAATCGCAGCGCGGCACAAAGAAGACATATTTTTTCAAAGACACGCCGCAAAAGTTAACAGTGGCCATAGGACAGGCCGCCGTGCTGTTATGTCGTGTTAAAAACTTAGGAAACAGAACTGTGAGTTTCACGAGCAAACTCCCATCGATCCTGAAAATAGCTTGCGTGTTGCGATCATTTAGATGCGCAATTACCCATTAACCCTTTCGCCGTCGGCAAGTCAAGCCGTGGCGTGTTCATTAAAAGTTTATTACAGATAATAGAATTGAAAAAAGTGGAGTTCTCGATTTTATAATTCCCTACAACTCGATAGAAAAAGAATGGAAAGAATACTTTTGGAAAAAAGTGCGAGCACCAGCATTTTTCACTCATGAAATGGTGCCAAAAACAGTCTGAGTTGATATTCTTATCGCTTCGCTAAGAAATGAAGAGAAAAAAAAGGAGTCTTTTCTAAAGACTCTCTAAAAATGAAAAAGTACCCAAGCGATAAGGTCACTATTATGATAACGCCACGCAATCATAAAGAAGAGTTCCTTATCCGATTTCTCTCTCGGTTTTCTCGTAGAATCTTTCAATTTTTAATATTTCAAAGATTTCGAAATCAAATGCGCGATTCTAATTTCTCCATCTCGACCTTTCCTCGGACTTGTCTGATCCTCCGATATTCCGAAATTCCCGAACCTTCGATAAGATCTCGGCGGAAAACTCTTCATTATAATACGTGGTGAGAGAAACGGGCGCGCGCGAACGGCTTGAATCAGCAGCAGTAGCGGCGGCGGCGGCGGCAGCGGCGAAAGGGTTGAGAGCGCAAACTGCAATTACCTGTACCTCACTCCGGGCCTTTCCCGTACGTTATTACCCCAGGTGTCTTGGATCCGAAAAAGGGACCTACACATCTTAACGTCCATGTCCGTGACTTACACGAGCGACGAGAGATTTACGATAGTCGGTAATCCGACCACCGACGACTGGAATCTACGAATAGATTACGTGCAACCGCGGGACGCCGGCGTTTACGAGTGTCAGGTTAATACAGAACCGAAGATACATAGAGCCGTGGCGCTGAAGGTTTTGGGTGAGTTTCTGCGAGGTGTGGTGGCCCATAAATCCCGCTTAAAGATCCCCCTCCGAAGCGTCTTACGTCGGACTGTAGAACCAATTGTTTTAACTCTCCCGGCGATCGGGCGCTTTGTTCCCGCGACGATTCGCTGAGCTTTCCGAAATAAAGTTGGGAAAACCATTTCGAAATCGAGTCCCGTGAGGGATGACAATTCGATCCGGCGCGCACGCGTGCTGTTTTTTAAGTAGTAAAGTCGACGTGAAACGCCACTATTATATCACATTTTTCTCCTTCTCTCACTATTGTCCCTCATCAGATATACAGGCGAAGATCACGGGTAGCCAGGAGCTATACATCAAGAAAGGCAGCACAATCAGCCTGACCTGCATCATAGAATTGCAGGATCTGCCCCCGAGCAACGTGACCTGGTACCATGCCGGTGCGGTGATCGATTTCGACGGTCCAAGGTACGAGCGGCCGACGATTAAACCTTTATTGCACACAATTAGCCCGTGGAATCATTGTTGAAATCGCGGCATCATTATACGCGTTCGTGCGCACATGACCTAATCAGAAGTTTAATTGACGGAAATCTAATCCATCGGAGTCCCGGAGTTATTTTCGTACGCCGCGGAAACTATGACTCCGCAAATTAAATTTTAATTGTATCGCGCGCGATAATCGCATTGTCCCGTTGTTCCTCGCTAATTGCCGCTGTATTACAAACGCCGACGTAATAGCGTTCGACGCAAAGTGGAAGGAAAAATTGATTGCAATCGAATCGAGGAGCAGCGGCGCGCTGCGTAAACGCGAGATAAAGTACGTCGCGCGGATTTCGGCGGCAAACTTTCGGCAAGTCAGTCTCAGTAATACTCTTACGTTCGACAGGGGCGGTGTGTCGCTGGAGACGGAGAAGGGTAAGAGTGGCACCACCAGCAAGCTTCTAATAACGCGTGCTCAACTTAACGATAGCGGTAATTATACATGCGCCTCGAGCAAAGTCACCCCGGCGAGCGTCATGGTGCACGTACTAAACGGTGAGCAAAATACCGCGGTGGCAATATCGAAAACGGGGGGGGGGGAAGGGGTGATGAGGTGGGAAGAGGCTGCGATAGTTAATTTCGAAATTCTCTGCTTCGCGGGCGTACCGAGAGAAGCGGGACATTACGAAATTATTCCCCAAGCACTTAGCAATAAGAGGAATATTTGTTTTAATTTCTCGGCGCGCGCTTCCTCTCCCACAGATTGCGGACCCGCGCGCTCCTCATTACACTAATACGTTTGACGCAAATAAATGTGACCGGTTATTCAAACATTATTCAAACATTAATTATCTTTGTAACAACTGTTTAATATTGGCGATAGAGCGAAGCGTAATTTACCGCTTAATAACGACGCATATTGCGCGCCGCGCATTCGTTCGCCGCGATAATGGTTAGCGCGTGGACGCCGCATGTATTATTATTTAGTGATGATAGTTTCAATAGTATAATTACCTAATAGTAATTTCTAATGTCATCGTGCGTGCTTATTTGTTAATTTCAATAATGAATATGGTTATCGTATTCGATGACAAAAGGGATAATTGGCATTACCTGCAGAGGACGCGATCACATTGTTCTTCCTCGCGACGAGCTGACGTTCCTTAAATCTTTGAAGATTCTCGAGTGCAATCCATTTCGTTTCTGTCGGGCTTCTACTCTCGCCGTGCCGTTAATAAATTTAATGTTCGTTAGCGAGTATCCGAGGAAGATTGACGAGATCGGGCTCGGCCAAGTCCCGTAGAAGCAGCACAAAAGCGACACGTTAGTCGTCCGGTGTAATTCTCTTTTCCAGGCGAACATCCCGCTGCGATGCAACACGGCGGCACCGGCGATGTGAATAGGAGACTCCTTCTACTCGTCCTGATTTTCCTCGTCGATACGATGTTTCGGTGAGCGACACGCCGCCGCCGCCGTCACTGCCACTGCCACTGCCGTCGCACTCGTCGACGATCTCCTGTGAATAGGATACTTCAGAATTCGTTCCCTGGGAGATACGCATGGCGATGGAAAGAGAATAATCGATGAATCTGTATATAGCACGATTTATCGTAGGGTCGAATTTTTTTATCGAACGTTCCGCACGGTCGAGATATGTGTTGTCGCTAATTTAGAATCATCGCGCTCTACGAATGTCTGTTCAATCCGAAGGATGTTAATCGAATCTCCGATTCGGATCATGTAAATCGAGAAATTCAATCAATCCAAATAATACATATTTATTGCCTGGATTCGTCGCTCAAATACCTTTACCCGTACGGATGTGTAATATGTATGTAATATAATAAATCTTTTGAAATTACACAATTTGTCTTTGCGTCGTCTACACTTGAATCACGATCCCTTATGCGACCATGCAAAGACTTTTCTAAAAAGAAAATATTTCGAAATCAATAACTGTGAATAAATATTAACCATACAACCTCTTAAATTTAGCAATAAATTGTTAAAAATTTATTTTTTTTAATTTAATTAAATAAATCAAAATGGAATAAAGCAGGCTAATAAGTCAACGACACATTTAGAAATGTTTAAATGGCCAAAACGTTCTAATTTATATATCTTCCGCTTTGATTAACTTTTTTTAGATTTATTTAAAATTTATTTACTAATATTAAATTAAATTATGTTGCTTAATTATTAAACTAACAAATTAAATTATATTACAAATTAAATTATATTACAAAATTATTAAAATTAATAAATTAAATTATACGTATTACGTATTAAATTCTTATACTATTCCGTACTTCTCGTAAATACAAACTGTTGTTAAATTTATAAATGCCAGCAAGATACGATCTTTAGGAAGTCTAATATAAAATGCTACAGCATCTGGCAATAGTCTGCAGACTGTACACCGACACACCGATATAAAAATGTACTGCCGAACGTCCTAACGTTAAGTGCAAAAATCGGAAAAACATAATCGGTAAAGGTGCGCGCGTGACGCGCATTCGCTGTCGCGCTCGCCGCAGGAAAGTGTCAGGTCAAAGGGTTAACGCGTTGCCCTTCTCACTCGACGGCACATTAAAGCCCTGGAATCGCCGTTACCTGGCCCGGTAATGGAACGGCGGAGTTCGCCGACTATTCGGACCGGTGGAGCATTCCCGTTCGTCCTCCGGCACGTTCCCGCGGGAGAACTGTGGATTCTGTCCGGTCTCATTTTATGCAAATCGCGGCGCCGAAGCATCTGTTAGACGCCTTCGTCGCGGCACGGAGAGTCGCTTCGCCGCCCGATGCAAATTCATGGCGAACGTAACGACGATCTCCTCCGCTCGTTTCCGCTATCGTCGGTGCGCGCTCATCTCCCGCACGCTCGCGATACCTTTTGTCGAAGAAATCTGACGCCGCGCGGAAATAAAAGTGGGACGGCGAGCATGGATTTTACAGAATGTTCCCGGGATCGCTGCCGTATATTCTGCCAAATTAAAAGAAAATAAGTTATAAAAGCTTTCTAGCACTATGAACAACCAGGATATTAAAGAATATCAGAGCATTAACTACAGGTGGCGTAAATGGCGGGAAAGCGAAAGCTTTTTCCTCGATTAACGTCGAGGGAGTTTTCACGATATTTTAATATATGGCTCAGTTATTTCACAAAATGGTGGATCTGTTATATGCGGGAAATTTATGTTAAAAACGCTTCCAAATAACAGTCAAAACGGCGTAAAAGTAAAATGAAAAAAAAGAAAGAAATTTAAAAAGCTCCGAATAACATTTTGTATAAACCGGAATATCTGGTTTGACGAAAAGTTCTTTTGCATGTTCGGCGAGTTTTCGCAAACTTCGTCCGCAAATTTTCGTTCTTTGACACGACAAGCAACGTCGACGACGTAGCTCAAGAATGAATTCTATTTTGGCAAGAGTTACGGCGAGACCGCGGGCCCCTCCGTCGGATGATCGAATTTTTGTACGCGCTCGCGTTGTCGCTCACGCGAGTATCGCCGTAATGAACGAGTTTACGCCGTAATCGCGTAAAGCTTTTGAACGCAAAGCAATTTTCCCGGATATTCTGCGAAAATCCTGACACCGGGCGGATCCTGAAAAGCCGCGGAAAACTCATTCCCGCGAGCAGCGCGTAATTGGTATTGTCACACACTCTCTCTCTCTCTCTCTCTTCTTCTCTCTCTCTCTCTCTCTCTCTCTCTCTCTCTCTCTTTCTCTCTCGCATTTCGTTCTGGATCGCTTGATATTTATTATGCGCGATCTTCCTCACTCCTTCGGAAACGCGCAGGATCAAAATGCATGCATTTGCCAAATTGCGAATAATGCAAAACGATTAATTCATGCGAGAAGAGTTTCGCGGAGATTCTGCATCCGTGGCGATTCAATCGATAACAATGTTGTTTGACATCGATCGTGCGCTCGCGATCTGGCGAACGCGAATCTCATAAACTATGCGGCGCGAGTTGAATTATTCGAGGAATGCACTATACACGCAAATGCGACCTTTATTGAGGAGTTTCGCCCATACGAGGCCTTATAAGAGAGAGGACGAATAGCATATCCGCGGGACTGTACAATACAAAAGAATGAGATAAGGCGGGTGCGCGATACGTTTATAAGAAGCAGGAAAGAAAATCCACGGAGTTTTCTCACAATGTAGGCTTCATACTTCTTCATATAATAGTTTTCGAGCTGGTTTTCAATAGTAGGATAGATTATTTCAGAAACAGCACGAGAGAGATTAGCGTTATGAGCGCACAAAACTTAGTTATCAACACACTTCACATTTGAAATTATAAAATCGAGGATCGATTTACCTTTCGCTAAAGAAATAATTTCAGATTATTAAAAAAGTTCCCAAGTAAAAATTGACATGGCGATAATTTTTGGTACTATTTAAAAAAAAAAATTATTAATGTATTATTCAAATATTTTTCGATGCACGATTGCTGTATAGTCTGATATTTTGTAGAAAATAAATTTCGTGCTATATTTTTTAATCAGTGCCGATTCTTCGGAGAGTAAATCGAGCGATGATATCGTTATTTGCGTGGAAGTCAAATGCGCGGGCGGAAAAAAAAAGTTTTCCGGGCATCCAAGAATTTCGCTAAGAAACTAAACCGTACGGCTGGTGCTGCATTAGATGCTTGTACGAGAACAGAGTTTTATCGAGTTAGCCAACGAGTTTCCACGACACGTTCGTGAAAGTTAGCCACGTAACTGCTGATCGTCTGCAGGAAATTTTGTCGATTGTTTATCCGTTCCGCCACTTTTATTGAGTTCGGGGACAAAAAATTCCGGATTTCTTTTTTTTTTACGAAAGGATCCGTTCAATGAAATTGGAACGATACATTGGCCTTTATTACGTGCACTTTGTATGCATGAAAATGCATTAAAATGCGCGGAAAAGGTTGAGAGAGAATTATGGTTAACTGAAATCATTACGGCGGTAAAATAAAGCGCCGTGAAGTAATAATGACGACGTAACCGTATAATGTATGATGTGGCCGTTATGGTTGTAATAGCTTCGGCTTATGATAACCGGCGATCATACTAATGATGTTATTATAATGCAAATCATAATCACGCGATAACATTAACGAATATATTATTCGCCAGTATATTCTCGACGGCGCTGCTTTCAATAAAATATCTTCTTATGTTTCGCGCATTAAAATACTGTTGTGAAAATCGTTAGTTATTACACTAATTACGGTAAAATTCTCCGACATACATCTTTTATTTATTCTATATACGTTCTCGCTTAATATTTGATAAACTATCACTAAAGTTGCCACCGCGTGTTACAGCGATTACTAAATAAATCCCTAGCGAGTTGTTTTCAGCATAGTTGGGCCGAGAGTATAGGCAAATTTCCTTTACTTTGTCAAAGGAAGTACTTAACGTTCTGCCGTTCAAAGCTTAGCAAGCTCGAGGGCGTAACTCCTCTTATATCGATCGCGGTGTTTGCAACAGCACAAGCGTGGGATAAACGCGGTTCGTTTGTGGTGCAGGATCATCTGCAATTGACAAACCGTGTCGATTCCCACGACACCGAACACGCTCGATATCGATCTCGATCCGATACTTTATGGTCCTGTTGAATCAGACACTTCGGGGCAGGAGAGTAAGAACGTCTGGTATACGAGTATGTGCGAGTGACCGCTCGGCAGAACTTATATTTGTTCGCGCTGTCGTGCAAAAGTAATATCATGTTCTCGAAAATAAGGGATGTGACAATATTACACGTTAATTAAATCCAAAGTAGCCTTCGGTGAAAATTTGTGATCACAATCTCGTTGAATTGAATTTTTTCTGAACAATAAATATTGTTTTTTGTAATATCTCACTTTAAATACTGTTAAAACATAAAAGATAAATGTTTTGCAAAATTGAACTATTTTCTGGTTCAAAAAGAATGTTCAAAGAAACTCATTGCAATCCAGTGCCGGACGTTTTTGCAGGAGAACGGTTTATCGCGGCGCAGCGCGTAATTATTTGCCGAAATTGCTCGCGAACTTCGGACGGAGATTGCAATAATTTCCTCCTTTCAGCAACGCGACTGAAATTCTTTTGATGAACGTCCTTTGTTCCGCGTCGCCGTTCGCGGCAGCTTCTCCTCTTGGGAACAATTCGTTCGTGTCGCCTGTCACTGCAGGCTGCTTAAAATGAGTAAACACCAGAATAAACAGGATGCTTGGGAGCTAATACGGAGCAGATTATCGCACAGTCCGACGCAAAGATTAAGCCGGCAATTCAGATTGCCGACGGATAGTGCGGAGGTAATCGCGCGAATGGACGCCTAGATTTCGCGGATGTTAGGTTAATCATTTTATTAATGTCATACATAATTTTGCCGTTGAGAGAAAGCGCATCTGTTGCAGAGTAAATGCGCCAAGAGATAATTAATCTCTCTAAGATTTAAACTTTAATTGATAGCTGAAAGTAGGTCCTGGAAATAATATTCGCCGATGGATCTCCACCCTATCCACCGTTCTCCGCTTTCTTCCGTCTTAATGTAATATTCCTTTATTGATCTAATATTCTGCGATGCATGAAAGTGGCGCCGTAAATATTCAGATCAATCAGAAGTATTAAGATATTTATGCGAAATAGAAACCGCCTTTGCTACTCCCTCTTTCCTTTTTTCTTCTTTTTTGTTTCTCCGCGAATGTTGCATCGAGCGTTGCGGAGTATCGTCGAGGAATATAAAATGGGACGTGTTTCTTATTTCCGGACACAGAATCAGACCAGGAGAAAAACGCTGTCGAAGCTCTCCATGATTGGTTTCAATGGGGCCGGCGTACTCTTTCACAGGCGCGGGGATCGACTTAAGGTACGTTCCCCCTCCACCGCGGCGGAATAAATTGGATGGACGCAAATAAATTGAGTGAGCGTGGAAAATGAACAAGTTTTAATACAGGCGAATCTCGATGCGCTCGGAGAATCGTTCCGTTCACTCTTGAAATGAGATTTCCGGGAAAAATTAGAGGGCGCGGATAAAAATTTCGCGTCATAACTTCCACGGGCGGTCGTCTGAAAATCTAATCATCGAGAATCTAATCGTCGAAAACTTTACTTTACGTAGAATGATAGGTAGATAGATAGAATTACATTATACATTATACATTTCGGCCGAAGGTTTATCGAGGACATTATACGCGCTCGCCGATATACCGAATTTCACAACTTCTCAAACCGTCTTGCTGTGATTTTGACGCGGAGACTTCCATCCTCGCTATTAAACTCTCCGCTGAGAGTTATTACCGTCAAGTTTCACTTTGCCGACAACTCATCGTCATGTAACACCTCTTGTAATCTAACCAGATCCCGAAATATCAGAACACTTATCGCTTGGAACCGTTCAGAGTTTTTCACGCAGTAGCAGTCGACAAGATCGTGCGTGACGTAATGGAGGCGAAATTATCGGTGATTACGTCATATCATCCGGATCAGACGTCAAAATTATGTTTGGATATTGCAGCCGACGTGCTGAAGGCTGTCGGAAAGAAGGATTATGACAGGTATTAAAATTATGGAAATTTACTTCAGATTAAATTCCGTTCCTTCTTCCAGTCTCGCGGTGATTTTCCGTAAACTGAAGGCTATTATATATACCCCCTCTCTATATTTTCAAGGATATCGTCCCGCGACGATAGCTTTATCGAGGCACCATCTCCATCTAATTCCCATTTTTGCGTCGAGTGAAATATGATTATGTTTATGTCTAGGTGCAAGGTGGTGACACAGGTGTACATAATCCAGCGCTTCCAGCAAAGTATTCACGCGGCCTTTCAATGCCTCTGGGACGTGGAGCGCGATAATTACTCGTATCACGCGTTCGAAAACGATCACATATACGCGTGGTGTTGCGTGTTTGGTATATATTACGATTAAACGCGACGACGATTTCAAACTAATTTCCTGCGCGCCACGCATTATGCTCCAACACTCATTAGTTTGTAATATCGAATTATACATTATAACGCTTATACATATTTATCAAGTCATTGTGAAACCACGCGGACGGATATTAGTACTTTCAATGATACCGGCCTCAATAGAATGGCATATATCACGAACAATAATGCAGTAGCTTGTTAAATTTATTAGCGCAAACATTTGGTAAATCGCGCGTAAAATATATGAAAATGTGAAATACTTTATAAAATAAAATAATAGAGATTTTAAATGAGATACTGGGCGGAAAATATTGACGTAAGTTAATATTGCGGCAATATAATGTACACATATAATTTTCAGTTTATACATAACTAATTATTTCGGCGCAATAAAATTTTCAACTTTTGTTCACAATATCGTTAAAAGCCACCGCATTATCGTCTATAGATTTTAAATTATTTTCATAAAGCTTTTTACTCCTCGAAGTAAAAAAGGAAAAGAACTATACGAATAATTATCAGAGTTCTAGCAACGATTAAAAAAAAAAAAACGAGGTAAGCTGCTTAAAGCGCTGATTCAATCCGACTGATAATAACAATGACAATTATTATCGTTAATGCGGCAACCGAGCAAACTAATCGCTTGTAGTAAAATACTACCAGGCGACACTAATGCGGGAACAATTATTTTACTGCGAACGCATGGCTGCAGCCATACAAAGCCATTGTTTCAGTCGCGGCAAAACGAGAAGCTTCTTGCGCGGTTCCCCTGATAATTACGTTTCTTCGGATACGAGCGATGACCCGGAGATCGTGTCAGGCCGGAGTGTTTAAAAAGTCCGGTAATTGTTTCTTTCTTCGGCGAAGTGAACAAAGGACGGCTTAAAAAGGCTTCGCGGTATAACTCACTTCTTACACAAACCTCGATATACAGAGTATCCTGAATTACCTCCAAGCCTCTCTCTCTCTTCTCGCAAAGTTGTTTCGCTAGCTAGAGTCGATCGTCGTAAAAATTCCATCACACCATCTCTTTGTCTTCCGAAATTTGTTAAAATTCTATCCAAGTAACTAATTCTTGAATTAAAAATTCTATTGAAAGTAAAGCACTTTGTTAACAGTTTTTTAAATCGAGGATTTCATTTAAAAGTTGTTTCTAATTCGCGAAATTTTTCGTGTGTCAAGATCATCGGTCTCGATGTTTTTGCTAAAAAAAAAAAAAATAAATAAACTTGGAGTTGTTTCAAAGGATTCGTGCGTAAAAGAAAAGGGGTGACCTGAGGCATCCGGTATATCTGTATCCAGCGAGGCTGTTTCTACTGGCGGAATGACTGGAAAAAGTTCTGATCGATTATGCAGTAACCATTCGCTATTAATATTTATTGCTTTCGCGACTTCGTGCTTTTTATTCTCGTCCCTCTCCTCGGTCGCATGATGATTTATCGAGAAACTTTCAGTGGACTCGTCTATCCCTCGTCGGAATAATAGACGGCGGTTTAAAGTTCCGGAGACACCGCGAACATTTTTATGAACATTGGCACACCCTCGTCGGGGACGTGTCTTCGATCGCGAAGCGACACGATTACATTCGCGAGCGTGATCACACTGCGGCGAAATGGAAGTAATTTTAACGTTTTCGAGCGCGGGCGTAGAGGAGGCAAAGCGAGGAAAAATTCAAGAAAATGCATTACGTTGCCACGCAATCCTTTTGCATAGCGAATTCATGAACGGAGATTTTGCGTACAATCCTCCACGTCACGGATTTAAAATATATAAGTGGCGAATTTAACCGCGCGAGAAAGCAGGTTAATGTGTATTTAAGTTGAAATTAATTAAAATTATAATAACACTCAAGCCTGTTGATCTCCTCGATTGGATGTGAATGCAATCGATCGCCCGTGTTATGTGCAGCTCATGACGTTGTCAAACGCAGACGACGGTAGTTCAGTCGATCGAACACTTTCAGCATCATTACGCAAGGGTTTAGAAGAAAAATGATTCGATGTAACCGACACACTGATAAGCAAAAGATGAAATAACTTTCGGGTTATCGGTAAACGCTTTCGCAATTTATGCGTCATCGCAAATTTCGCTTACTTCACGATCGACGGCTACGCGGCTTACAATCAGGTCAGCTTAAATAAGCTTAAATTTCCAATAAGGATTTTCATAACAACGAATCATTATTTATTATGTAATTATTATTATATTATTGTAACTCTTGCTAGATATATTACTGCAGCGTTGACATTATTTTCTCGTGCGCAGATGTTATCAAAATATAATATAAAATACATGCGGTTCCCAAAATTGTATCAAATTCACCGTCAGTACTCCGTGATAAAAAATATTTATTACGCGAAGCTTTTACGGTATCGCAGCACTGTTAACGATGTTACCATTATAAATTTATATTTTAGCGTCGAAAAAACATTAAGATAATAAAATTATTCAATCGGAACCGAATACTGCGGACCCTGAGGGTTCGAAGCTTGCGGGACATCGTATCACCGTGTCCTCCGTGTAACGCCCAAGCTGGAAATTACTGGGAAAATGTGCGGCGGTTCTCTCTCGTTAAATTAATGGTGCAATTTCAGTGTCCTGCCACGTGACACCGCGATGTTGCGCGCGTGGGGTGTGCCGCCGGCGAATCGAAGACCGAAACATTTACGGGACCGTCGTAAAACAGATCGCGAAATTTTGCGCTTATTCGCGCTTCTGCGTACCGCTCTTACTCGCCATTATATCCTTTATCCGATTAGCTTCAACCCGTCTTCACGGTAATATGGTTTTAGCAGGGACCTTAAGGATGCAGCTCATCAGCCTGTGGAAACAACCGATAATTTTTTCCCGCAGAAAAGTTGAGCAAAATTCTATAAAAACGGCTGAAGATCTCAATAATTTTCGTTAAGCAAATGCAGAAAAAAAAATGAATCTTTTAATATTGCAAACTTAAGACCTGCACAATTCTTGAAAATTCAACAGAACTTCTCGCAGCTTTCGTTTCTATGCCGGAAGGAAATTATAAATTTAAATCGTGATGCTGGTAATAAATACTTTTTTAGCAGCGAACCTCGGAATGGACGAGACATGTTTTTCTTCAACCTTGCATTAAAAGTATAACGTTACTGTAACCCATGTTGTTTAAAGAGATTATATGTGTTCCCTATGAGATTTCCAATTTCGTAAAATTACACTTTATAGGACGACTATGTATATGGCTACGATGTGTATGCGATAGCGGTTGTACTTTGTTCATTTTAACAAGCCGTGCTGAGATCTCGCCTTCGAAGTTATAATTAAATTTTCCTCGTTAAAATCCGCGGATAGCGAAGAAGAGAGCGTGGATCGAATATTGTTTTCGACGATTCGTTTATTTTATTCAACTTTTAACGAACCGAATTTCAAATGTCGCCCGTCTAACGCGATAAAGTACGCATCATAGTGATTTTAAATATTGTAATCGTTGAAAATAATTCGAATTTAAGCCACATTTTGCAAAAAATTATGAATTGATACAATGTCTCTATAAAAGCTTTCTACATTTGTAACCATTGTGTTGTATAACTTATTCAATCAAATATGTAATTTTTTGAACGTATTCAATTTCGCGCTAGTAATTCAGGTCGACAGATATATTTATTACAGATGTAAATTTTTCATATAATAATTTCACATAATACGTTTTTTCTAATTTTATTCTTTTAAATATAATATATCGAACAATATCAATATTTCAGAATACATTCTTTTTAGATGACGCAAAAATTGCAAAATGACTATCCCGTTATATAATTGGTTATTTCGCAGAGCACGAAAATTTCTAGAATTTGTAATAGTTAATCCTCGCGCTCAAAAGGGACGCATTTTATATAAAGGTTCGTATTACACGGAGTGCACTGGTCACAGGGAATTCCGCAGAGCCATAAACCATGCATGACTGCACACCAGCGGCGGACTTTACTCAGACTTTACCGATTCGCGAATTTGGAGAGAATCGTAGGAGGTACCCCTGCATACCAATCTTCTCCTGTGCCTTTGTCTTTCCACGCTATAACCAGTTCTTACGCTTCTTTCTTCACTTTTGCTCTTAACGGCTAATAAAGTTGATCACCATTATACAAAAATTTTTTCTTATTATTGCTTCAACTTCTTTCTTTTTATACATTGCTCCTCTGAGAAATGTTATCCGTGATTTTTATACACGCATCGAGACGCGTTAAGATAATAATTATTGTGAAAAAAAAGAGAGTAAAAAATATACAAGTATTACTATTTGTAAAAATTATTAAATTTATATTTATTTCTTTTCGTAAATATTATTTTAGACATTAAAATTATTTGTTTATTTATTTCGTAAAATTTATTTCATATGTTTATTCATAAATTTATGTTTGACTTATTTTCTGCAAAATAATATAATTATATATTTTTTCTAACGCATGCTTGTATATGTAATATGAAAGCGTTGAATATTCGAGAGATTATAAAAGTATATAAGTTGATATAGACGTAGAAAATAATTCGGTTAGTTGAATTTAATATGACTCTGGTCTTTTCTATTATTCGTTAAAACGTTCGAAATAACGTTCGAAAGACTTGACATATAGAATGGCAAGCGCTATCGTTGACAGAAGCACATATCCGTATATTTGGATGTTAAACTTTAAACAGTATCTCTCTCTACTCCGAGATCGTGTTTTCGATGTGTGTATCAGACACATCAAGATATATATCACCAAAGGCTGTACTATCGAAAGTTATGCAGCAATAAAATAAATAAGTGATAAGACAGACGCCGTCGAACTAGTTAGAAAATATCATGAAATCAATTTCAAAGCAATATTTTTAATACACGTTTATCATTTAAGTAAGACTTATCTTTCTTACATTTCTTAAAAGACAGAATAAATTATATTTTTTTAACAGCTAAATTAGAAATTTTTTTTTCGATTTTTCTGTGATAAAACATATAACAGACATAAATTTTATTTATTT